TATCTCCAGTCTTTCCCATGGAAGGCGGTTATAACAGCACCATGTGAGAGTGAAGGATCCAGGGGATGTGGCTTCTGATGTAAGGGAGAAAGTGGTCAGAGCCCTGAGAATGGGAGCTGGGACAGGCAGGGGCATGAAAGCAAGCATCCTGGAGGAGAAAGCATGTGAGCCTGCAGGCTGTGTCTGTCTGGAAAACAAAGCGCATGTCCCTGAGCAATGGTGTCTGTTCCCCAGGGGCACGTTGGAGCACCTGTGGCTGATAGGCTGACACCAGTGCCTCACTTTCAAGCACCCACACATGCAGACTCCCACCTTGGTGGGTCTCTAGTTTCTTCCAAGAGAGGAGACTTGGGAGCAGAGTTTAGAAAGCATTAAAGGAACCAGCGACTCAGATCCTGGAGCTGAGAAATGTGGATGGGCAGTTGTGCCCAGCCCCTCCCGTGGCACCCCATGGCTCTCTCTGACCTCTGGGGCTTTCTGGTGGACTCCTGCCAGCCTTGGCAGATTCTTCCGGGGCCTCTTCTCTCACTCCCCTAGTCCTTTCCTCTTCTTCTCTCAGGGCTTTTGATTGGCAATCTCCTCTGCCTGGCATCCTCTCCATCCACCTTCTGCCCTGCTGACTCCTTACCCTCTACCTGCAGTTCCAGCATGGTTTCCCCTTGGAAGGCTTCCTGAGTCCTCCCCAGATGCGGTCGCTCCCCTCCCCATTACACATACGTCTATATTTCTATGCACTTTCCCCCCTTGACATCAAGCACAGTGATCCTATGTTTAGCTGTGTGATCGCTTGACGTAAGTGGGCTGCCGTCTCTAAATTATAAGGAGAGACCTGTCTTGGTCATCACTGTATCCTCTGTTTTTATTATTATTATTATTTATTTTTTTTGAGTTGAGATCTCACTTTGTCACCTAGGCTGGAGCACAGTGGCATGAACACAACTCATTGTAGCCTCGATCAGCTCAGGTGATCCTTCTGCCTCAGCCTCCCAAGTAGCTGGGACTACAGGCACACATCACCACTTCCAGTTAATTTTTTTATTTTTTATTTTTTGAGAGACGAGGTCTCGCTATGTTGCCCAGGCGGGTCTCGAACTCCTGGACTCAAGCGATCCTCATAGGTGTGAGCCACCACGCCTGACCTTGTTTTGTTTTATTTTATTTTCAAAATGTATTTATTTAAAAGATATTACCTGGCACAGTAAACGTCTGTTGATATTTGTTAAATCAATGAGTAAGTGATTATGTGTTTGGGAGTGTCCCACTTCTTAAGGAAGTGACAGCCTTCACTGCCTCCCTTTCCAGTAAAGAAGGCAATGGAGGCTAGCAGGGTGAGAGCAGCAGGAGCATCATGGGCCAGGTGATGTTTCCCAGCTGGCAGCCCTCCACTGGCAGTGTTTGGTCACCAAGGCAGCCTGGATGTTCTTCCAGGCTCAGCCGACGGGGACCATGGCAACTTTCAGAAAGCCAGAGCAGGACACTGCCCATTCTCTTCTGAGAAGACACTGAAGAACTAGTGTGTATGTCCACCAGAATTGCAGAAATTTTCATAGAAATGTCTTTCATGATAGCCAGCATTTGAACCAGCCCAATATCCATGGCAGACATTAAAATGAGCAAGTTCATTGCCACAATGTGGATGAATTTCTCATTCATAAAATTAATAAACAGAGCCAGACGCAAAAGGAGGAAAGCAATGTGGTTTTATGTATATAGATTTCAAAGCAAGTGAAATTAATTCAAAATGACAAAAGTCAGAATGGTGGCTAGCCTTATGCTGAGGGGAGAGAGCAATAATACAGTTAGGAGGACTAAAGAACTTTCTAGAGTTGAGGATATTTTTGTGTCTTTGTGTAGTGTTGGTTACCTCATGATATGCAGAGGGTGGTGCAGATCCCAGGGAGGCTGACTGTCCTCTGAGGATATGGGGTATCTCGGTGGAGGGTCACCAGAAACTCCCAGTGCATGCCTGAGTTGGCCCTGTGCCCTGAGCCTTTACTCTGTGCCAGGCCCTATTCAGTGACCAGGCAGTGACCTTGCCCGCAGGGGCCTTTGGTTGAGCCACGCTTTCTGAGCTTTGGGCTCCGAGCTGTGGAAAGAACCCAGCCTGAATCCCACGGGAGAGGAATCAAGCTTGAGATGTTTGTGGGAGGATGGCCTGGCTGGCTGGGAGAGGCCAGAGTTGGGCATGCTCAGGTGGGGACAGAGTGAGGTATTGGCGGGAGCCATTAGGAACTGACTAACAGGAAGGAGGCTTCATGAAGAGTTCATGCCTGGCTGGCAGGATAGGAGCTGGGGAGTATAATTGAAGCGGGTGAAGGGAGAAGTCTCTAAGAAGTGATTGTGACCTTTCTGACAGGGAGGAACTTGGTGGCAGCAAGGTTAAGGTCAAGCTTAGGCAGGAGTGACTGGGACCAGGATGACTGGGTAGAGCGGTAGCTGAGCAGGGCCAAGCTGAGCCATCTTCCTTGGGTGTGTGTGTGTGTGTGTGTGTGTGTGTGTGTGTGTGTGTATGTGTGTATACATGGACACATGTGTGCACACAGGTATAGGACCTTCAAGAATAGGGTCATTTGGTGGATGCTGACCAATGGAAAAACACTGCTATACCAACAGACTGGGCTGTGAGCATCCATATCCTGCTAGTCATGGCAACCTTGTGAGAATGGTCCCCAAGGGCATGGGCCACGATGAAAGAAGGGTCTCTGAGGATGATGTCCTGCAGACGGGAGTAGGCACCTGTCTTGTGGAAGGCCTGTGTCACGGGCTGTCAGAGGAAGGACCCCGGCTTTAGGCCAGGGAATGCTGGTCAGGGAGACCAGCTTCTGCCTTGGCTCACACGTGGGGGGGTCTGGTCATTTAGGCTGTGGCCCAGCCTACAGTATCCTCTTGGGTCAAAATTGATGTGGAGTCCATTTTTTCAGAGGACTCATAAGCTGCCTCTGAAGATCCTTCCTCAGAGCCTATTGGCTTCCCTGGGGCCTCTGAGAAGCCAACACTCACAAGAACACCCACAGCTGGTATCTTTGTTCAAATGTCAATCCCAGCATGGCAGTCGTCCCCAGATAGGACAGTTGGGAGAAGCACTGACTTTTGACTGCATGTCGGTGACACGCTATCCCACTGCTAAGTACTCCTTGGTCTGGCCTCATTCCTCCCGTGGGTGGGGGCTTGACAGGGTGGATGAAGCAGTGTGCTAGTGGGGGCTGGGGAGTCACACATGGCCTTGTGTAAGGGCATCTTTCAGCATGAGAGCTGACTCATGCTGGTTTCCCTCTGGGCTTCCCAACAGCAAAGGTAGATGCCCCAGCTCTGGGCCTGCGTTTTAACAGTGTCTTGGTCAGCCCTGTATAAATTTTGTAGTCCTAGAGAGCCCTGGGAACTGATGTGCCCCCTGAGACCTTGGCTTCGCTGGAAACATCTGCCCTTCATGCCTGTTTTCATTTTGAACAGTTCAAGCCCACGACTCCCACAAGATATTTCATCTCATTTTTTTTATTGATAATTCATAATATATATATTTTGAAATGCAAACATCACTCCGGGCATGGTGGCTAGTGCCTGTAATCCCAGCACTTTGGGAGGTAGAGGCAAGAGAATTGCCTGAGTTCAGGGGTTCAAGAACAGCCCGGGCAACTTGGCGAGACCTTATCTCCACAATAAATCAAAAAATTACCCAGATATTGTGGCTGGCATGTGCCAGTAGTTCCAGCTACTTGGAAGACTGAAGGCTGAAGGATCGCCTGACCCCAGCAGGTCGAGGCTGAGGTAATTGTGAGTGTGCTACTGCAATCCAGCCTGACTCTGACTCAAAAAAGAAAAGAAAAGAAATGTAAGCATCATCACTAGAGATTATTGCAGTGTGAAAAGCCAACAATGTAGAACACATAGGGAATTTAATTTTGTACTCTCTTAATTCATATTTTTGAATAGCCAACACATTTAAACTTCTAAAACCAAACCAAACCAGACAAAAAAGCATGCGGTGAAAAGTCTCTCTCACCCTCACCTCCAGTCACTTGGTTCCTACCTCTCTGAATGGGTAACCACTGTAAATGTTTCTCAAGTATCTTTGGGAGATAAATACATATATTTCATATAAAGTCTTATATTCTTCCTTTCTTACACAAGAGGTTGTGTATTCTATATGCTATATAGTAGCTTTTTTTTTTAAATTTTTTAGTCTGGGTCTTACTCTGTCACCCAGACTGGAGTGCATGGCACCATCACAGCTCACTGCAGCCTCGACCTCCTGGGCTCAGGCAATCCTTCCAACTCAGCCTCTTGCGTGGCTGGGACTACAGGTGCATGCCACCACATCAAGCTAATTTTTTATTATTTTGTAGAGATGAGGTCTTGCTATGTTGCCCAGACTGGTGTTGAACTCCTGGGCTGAAACAATCCGCCTACCTTGGCCTCTCAAAGTGCTGGGATTATAGGCATGAACCACCATTCCCTGCCCACTTCCACCAGAATATATGAGAGTGTCTGTTTTCCTGCAACCTTTCTAGCATGGCATTTATTGACTGGCATTTTATTGATGTGGTCACATGATGAGGTGACAAATGTTCAAAGTAAAGACATCAGATCTGGGGAAAACTGTACATCCAAGGAGGGCCTTCAGTACAGAAGGGCAGTATCACCTGGTGACTAAGCCTCTGAAACAGCTGGAGCATGAATCCTCTGGCCAATCACTTACTCTCTCTAGGTCTCAGTTTTCTTATCTGCAAAATGAAGAAAATGATAACATACATTGGGGGTCGTCGTGAGGATGAGTGAGATGCTGCTTGTCAGCAGGACTTTGACAGTGCCTGGCATATGGCTATGGGAGGCTGGCTCTGCACTCACCAGCAGGTGACCTTGGGCAAGGAGCCCCTCACCTGAGCCTCCCTGCTGGCCTCAGGGGTCTGTGGGGCCCTCTTCCCGGTCTCAGGACCTGGCCTGTTTTTCAGTAGCAACGTGTGTTACCTCCACTTACCCTTCCTCTCTCATGCCCATCAAAGGTATTCAGGAGTCTCCAGTGCCGAATGGTCACTCGCTTCCGGGCAGAGATTTTCTCCGGAAGCAGATGCGGGGAGACCTGTTCACGCAGCAGCAGCTGGAGGTGCTGGACCGCGTGTTTGAAAGGCAGCACTACTCGGACATCTTCACCACCACGGAACCCATCAAGCCCGAGCAGGTACGCCCCGCAGCTCATGCCTGCCACACCTGCCACTGCCACGCAGGCTTGGGCCACTCTCCTGACAGCAGAGGCATCTGGTGGGGTGTGGGTGAGGGTGCGCCGGGTATTGCTCAGAGCAGGCATTCGACTGTTCTTGGCCAGTCACAACATCCCACGAGGTCAGAAGAACTTGTCTGGGGCTTCGGTGGCTTCTTGCCCTGGTGCTGCTGTGGTCTCTGGCCTGCTGGGGGCGGGGGGTGACTTGTCTGGCTGCTCTGCCGTTGCCAAATGATGTCCTTTCTCAGGGCTCTTTGGATGAGGGGGGCGTGATAATCTTCTGGGCCACTTGAGATGGTCTTGGGTCATTATCCTTTCAGTCAGGGTGATGGTCAAAATATGTAACCACCATGCGGCCCCTGGGCTTACCAGCTGTGAACAGGGCAATGATGGTGTGGGTGTGTACCCGACTGTCAGCCCTCTGGTCAGGTCATCTTGTCCTGCTTTCAGAGGCTGAATTCATGAGTCGCAGGTGAAAATGTGTCTCATTGAACACACCGCCACCTGGCTTATTTGCAGGTAAGGGAAAGAAGCAGGAGGGCCATCCCTGGCTGAGCAGCCTGCTGTACCCTGACAGAGGAGCAGTCACTGCCTGTGCCTGGAGAGATGGAACCAGAAAGGCTCTGCCCAGTGAGAGGCTCTTGGGGCCTGAAAAGGGTCCCTAAAGTACCAGATTCAATTCAGAAGACTATTTCCTGATGCCCAGTCAGTGCCAGGGCCTTGACTAGTCACCTTGCAGGCATGGACAACCCAAGATCTTCTGTCTGGTGGGCGAGTCAGGGAGACCCTATGGACAATGACCTTCCCCAGGACTTTCCTAGCTTGTGTTGGTGGTGAGAACTGGCCTCGCTGAACTTCCTCTAGATGCCCATTAGATGCTGCTGCTGACGTTTTCCCACACAGCCATTCAAAACAGCATAGGCCCTATTCACAGGAGCTCGTGGAGAGATGAGGGGCGGGAGAGAGTCTTGGCTGTTGAGGAGTGAGCAAGACTCTGGGACCACCCCGGTGTGGCAGTGGCTGTCTCTGAGCAGTTTCTATAGGGGCTCGTACAGACGATCTGTCCACTTTCGGATGGGGAAATTGAGGCCCACAGAGGCAGAGTGATTTGCCTAAGGCTAAATCATGTATTCACTTAGCAAACATTGATAAGTGTCTACTTTGTGTAGGGCACGGAGCCAGACCCTAGAGGTATTCCAGTGAACAAGACAGGCTCAGACCTTCCCTCAAAGAGCCTACAAATTGTGGAAGATTCATAATAAATAAGGATTAGCCAAAGGGTCATGAATTACAGGTATGCTTTGTGCTGAGGAGGTGCAATGTGAGGTTCTCTGAGAGCCCAAAGCAAACCCCGAGCCAACCTGGGAACCACAGTGGCCTTCTAAGGGAAATGTATTTATGCTGAGCCCTGAAGGCATTGGGCAGAATGGGGAGAAGTGATGCGGGAGTGGAAGGAATGTTTCTGGCACAGGGAACAGTACCTTCAAAGGCCCTGAGGTGAGAGGGCATGTGGCCAGAATGAGGAATGGAGAGCCAGTATGGCTGGGCTTCAGGGAACGGGGTTGGGGATGTTGGGGAGATGGGTCTGGTCTTGTAGACTGGGCTCAGAATTTTAGTCTTTCTCATTCAAGTTGAGAGACGTCTCTCCCGGGAAGTACATGGTTATATGTGCTGGGCAGAGCTGACCCCACACACTCTAGATCCTGGGCTTTAGAGAGAAGAATCTGTTTCCATCACAAGCAGCCTCTCTCCCCACAACCTGGAGACCTGTTGAGAGATGGCAGAAACTTGTTTATCTGACACGAAGGAGAAAGAGAGGGGACTCGATCAGGAAATCTCCCTAGATGAGGTCTATCTTTCCCTCCAGCATCCAGGAGAAAATTGATCTCGTTAACTGTTGATAAGATCACATGATTTTAGGACTAGCAGGGACTATGGAGACCACCTTTCAACTCTCATTTTTGGAGGTCCAAAGAGAGGACAGGGCTTGTCTGAGGCCACCTAACCTCAGCGAGGGTCCAGGCCTCCACACTCCGCCTGGCCTCCACAGCATAAAGCCCCGGCTTTTCTACGAAGACTATACTTAATGCAGACTTCCATTCCACATGGTTCTTGCAGAGACGCAGAATCCTGCCCCCGGGAATGCCCAGAAAGACTGGACAGAGACTCCAGCATTCATTACTGGGAGGAATCCAGAAACCAGTCATGTATTCACTCACTCATGTGCTCACTGATCCCACATATATCTCCCACTTGTGGGCCGGGAGCCTGGCACAGTGCTAGGTACTTGTCAGCTCTGCCCAGTCTCCCAGGGGCGGTGTGGCGTGGACTCAGAACCCACAAGATGGAGGTTCTGTGGTCCTGTGAAGTGCAGAACTAGAGAGGGAGAAGCTGCCTTGGTTGGAAGCATCAAGGACAGTGGCAGGGAGGGGCACTGTTGGGTGGGGGTCCTGAAGGACAGGTCCCACAGGCTCATGAAGAGATGGGGGACTGAGGGGGAGGAGACCTGGGTTAGACTATGAGGACTCTGTGTCTAGCAGTGTCCTTCAGAATGACGCGAGCACGTCTGCAGGCCTGTCTCTGACTGTGCGGGCCCTGAGACGGGATAATGACTGACTCAGTGTTTTCTGGTTAATCTGCTTCACCTCCCTGTAATGTGCTTTAATGAGAAGAGATGGAAGGTGAGGCCGTGGGGCTGCCCTGCACGTACACGGGCACTGGACTATGAATGACATACCCTTGCGCCCGATTCCCAATCACTTTGGACAAATGATGCCCGAGCAAGGGGCTGCGGCCTGGGAGGGGATGCTTGTCAAGGGTACAGGTTCCTTGAGCCCGCGTAGGCTCGCTGTCTGTGAGGTGGATACCCCGCAGGCCTTGTCTTGGGAGTCGCGGAGCGGCATGGTGGTGGTGACAGGAAGGGGGATTGAGGTGCTGGCCGCGGAGGCCGGCTGCCTCTTCCGCTTTTGAGCAGCTCAAGCTGTCTGAGTCTGCGTCTCCTTGGCCTGGTGGCCTAGGTGGGGGACCAGCTGCCACTATCATTGAGCAGCCTGGTGGCGAAGAAAGAGCATTTCTGACCCTGGAGTTGGGGGAGCTTGGTTTGAGTCCTGGCTCTGCCTTGTTGAAGAAGCCACTTTCTTTCCAGACCTCAGTTTCCATATCTGTGATAGTAGTAATTTTGATACCACCCCATCGACAGCAGTAGCAGCAGCAACCTAACACTAACAACAGTGATCTTCCCCACCTCTGCATGACAGTGGATGGTTTTTAAAGGCCTGTCACATCCGTTCTCTCATTGGACCCTCGATTAAGTGCCTACCAAGCGGGCTGGGCAAGATTTGTGAACCCCCTTTTATAGATTGGAGCATTTTTTTCCAGATTGTTCACCCTGTTTCAGGCCGAGGAAGTTTCTGGGATTTTTGAGACCACAGAGCTGGAATCTGACCTCAGGATCTTCTGTCTCTAACTTGTGCAAGATGGTTCCATGAGCCTCCACGTCCCGGACGATGCTAGGAGTCAGTTTTCTGACTGGCTGGTTTTCAGGCCTGACCTTTTGCAGCCAGAATCCGACTGTCATTCCAGAACTGCTCATTCCAGAATCTTGTCACAGGCTTGGCGAAGTCGTACCCTTCCAGGTCTCCCCACCTCGTCCCCCATGGGAAGAACATGCCTCTTTAGCGCAAGGCAGGGGTCCTGGTGGCCACTGCCTGGAACTCAGAGCCTGCCCCCATCGTGCTGCTTTTCCTGCCAAGTTCTTCCCTGGTTGGGTGGGTCCAGATGTCTGACTTTTTAAGGGAAACTTAGTAAACCCTGTGTCCTGGGTGGAACGGGTTAATGTAGACCACTCTTGGGGCAATGAAACACTTCCTTTTCAAAACGGTTATTGAAAAAGCAATTCTGTTTTCCCTGCATGTGGAGTGAGTAAAAATCACCTCGGAGGAAGAGAAGAGGGATAAAAACAAACAAACAAACAAACGATGGCGGCGAGTGTGTGTGTGTGTGTGTGTGTGTGTGTGTGTTTCCAACAGTGGAATCTGTTTCCGTAAAACTACCGTTGATGCTGTCGTCGGTGGCGCTCCTGGCAGGAGCGGGTCCCTCCTCCGGCCGCTGCAGGAAGGCCGCCACGAGCACAGCCTGCCATATTTACTCTCGGCAGACTATTAACCAACACCAGGCTATTAATCTGGCTTTTGAGCCTTCACTAAAGCCCATAAAAGCTCACAGTTGTCAAATGGAGTTCATTTTAATTTCCTTTCAATCACAGTAAATTATTCAGGTGATAAATCAGCTGGAGCAGCCTCCTGGCTGTAATAGAAACCCTAATTCCTGGCTAATTATCCAGCCCATTGCTGCCAACAGATCAATACGGGTGCAAAATGGAACGGGCCGGGGCCCTCCCTCCCATCGGGCCAGAGACAGAGAGACAGCTGGGGAAGGGGACGTGCTGCTGACCTCCCAGGAAGTTCAAAGGTCACAAGGGGTTAAACCAGGAGAAGGCCCGTCCCTTGTCTGACAGAGAAAACCACCCGAAGTGCCTCCTGCTCTCATAAGCCACTATGCCCTCTGAATGGTGGCATTTCTCCAGGCTGGTGGGCTGAACAGGATTCTAGCACTGCCTGCTCCTGTGGGCATCCCGTTCCTAGGAAGGGGCTGAACTTGACTGAGCTTGGTCATCAGGGATGACTTGAATCTTGACCATGAGTCAAAAAAAGGGCTGGGTACTGTGCGGAGAAAGAGGAGGCCCTGAATGTGCTTATTTTCTTCAGGAAGCTCATTCTCCTCCACGGTGGCTCTGTGTCCCACTGTGAGGAGGTGGGGTTGGGGAGACAGGTGTGCCAGGCTAAGAGAGAGGAAGGCTTCCTGGAGGAGATGCCTTGAGGGATGGACAGAATCCAGACCTGTGGAGATGGGAGAGTTGACTGGAGAGGGCATTCTAGGCGGAAGGAACAGCATGGGCGCAC